TGCTGGCAGTTGGTCAACCTCTGCAAGTTTATTTTCTCTGAAAAAATTCAGTATGGTTGCGAGTTCGTGTTCTGTCTCCTCTCGGTTCTGGGCCCTTTTCCTTACATTTGGTGCCCCATGTGAGGAGGCACCAATCTGCATGTCTTTTTCTTACAATATCTGAGTCGTATGATACAACATTTCTCATCAAATGTGAAAATATTTTCAGCTTTAAGATTAGATGAGACCGTGAGGCATTTAGAAAAATATTAATCTAGGATAACCTAGACTTAAATTACATAACCTAGGTTATAATTCTTCCAAAAGCTAAATTACCATTGCTATATGTATATTACTTTAACCAAATTCATCTAGATGAGTACTTAGAATGTTCAAGACCTGGTAGGAACTACAGAGGTGAATAAAATATAGTCTAATGAAGATGAAACAGAGGCGTCAGAGAAGATTTCACGGTGATCTTCTACTTTCTACTTGTTGAATTCCTTATATAATGGAGCATTAAGCCTATGATTATTAAACAAAGTTGAAAGTATATTGCAAAAGTTAAAAAGAAAGAATAGAAGGAAAGAAGAAAGGAAGGAAAGCAAGCAGGCGGGAGGGAAGGAGGAAGGAGAGTAAGAAATCTCATTGTGTGCTTAAAATTCTATATATGAAATACATGAAATCTAGTCCCTTTATATAAATAAAATATTAAAAAAACTGAAAAAAGATAAAGATTGAGAAATATCAGGGCCGATGCCATGGCTCACTTGGTTAATCCTCCGCCTGTGGCACCAGCATCCCATATGGGCACCAGATTCTGTCCCTGTTGCTCTGGTTCCAGGCCAGCTCTTTGCTGTGGCCTGGGAGGGCAGTGGAGGAGGCCCAGGTGCTTGGGCTCCGGCACCCGCATGGGAGACCAGGAAGAAGCACCTGGCTCCTGGCTTCAGATCCGCACAGCTCCTGCCGTTGTGGCCATTTGGAGAGTGAACCAATGGAAGGAAGACCTCCCCTTCCTCTCTCTCACTGTCTATAACTCTACCTGTCAAATAAATTTTAAAAAAAGAAAAAAAAAATTGGGAAATATCCACAAAATATGTGAGATCCTCAAGAAGTGAAAAAAAATCAGTGATGCAGGATGAAAATGTGATAAAGCAAGCTCCTTGCAAGAGGGACACTGTGAATAGACATTAAAAGATCGGTAGCTATTGTTTCTATGGACTTGGCAGCAGTGGTGGTGTGAAGGTGAGAAGATCATCATCTTGATACAAAGGGAGTTTTGAATAGAGTATACTACATATGCATAAAGAAGGCAAGTGAGGTAGTACTGCAGCAAGGCAGGTTGAAACTAATTAGAGTGTTTTGGATTCCTTTTAAAAATGCATTTATATAAAGATAAAAGATTTCATGTGTTTCATACAATTTTAAGCATATATTGAAACTTTCCACCCTTCTCCCTTGCTTGTCCTTTCTCTCTCTCTCTCTCCTTCTCTCTTTCCTTTTAGTTTTTGTGATACCATACATTCAATTGTTACTCAAGAAAGAGATTTTCCAGTAGAGGAAGGATAGGATAAGAATCACAAATTTAGAAAATTTAAGTTGATAGTCTTTCCAGTGGAATTATGATATTCTTAGGAGTGTTGACAAGGACTGTTGACCTTGACAAGGACAAGGACAAAAAGATGTTTCTTTAGCAGAAGTTAGTGAGGTTTGAGTGTGTCTGCCTGACTCTGTAACATCAGTCTATACTTTTGAGGAACTGTTGTTTTGTACTGTTTGCAAACTGGTTTTCTAAATTTCTAAAGAATGGAAAATATTTATTTTGTAGCTCAAAAAATAATCTACTGCATTCCCTCAGATAGTGGCAGCTAAAATTATTTCTGGTCTAATGAAATAACTGTGGATAGGAACATGGAATTCAGAGTGGCATATGCTAAATCTCGTCCTCTAACCACTACCAAGCAATGCTGACAGTCACTTTAGATGCACAGAAATATGAACATCACTTTAATTCTTGCACACTTAGGTCTTTTGTAGTTCACCCACTGTGTAATCTGTCAATAAATTAAAGAACAATAAAGAATTCTATAATTAGTATTGGGCATATTGTTAATTCTCAGAAGGTATTTTCCAAACAGTTTACTGGAAGATCAGCTGTTAAACAGATCAGCTATGTTTTCTGAAAGTAATTCTGAGAGCTGTTGTGTTTGTTCCTGCAATACAAAAATGTTCCCTATAATAAGGTCATCTAAGCCAATCAGCAGTCGGTAGTCACTTAAGCCCTACTATGTGTATTACACTGGTAGAAATGTACTATAAAATGATGAAGAAGTAAAAGAGCCTTTGCCCTAAAAGAAGCTCAGTATGGCATGGATTCCCTCCCACAGAACATAGGAAAAGTTTGACTAGATAAAGAAATTATGGGATATACTATGTACACTATGGAGTACTACTCAGCTGTTAAAAAAAATCTGCCTTTTGGAACAAGATGGATGCAACTGGAAACCATTGTACTTAGTGAAATAAGGCAGTGGCAAAAAAGATATCGTATGTTTTTCCTAATCCAACTAATAGAGTACCTGAAATGTACTGTATTGGAGTGAAAGAGACATTTTGAGATTTGCTGATTGTCTATAGCCCTTGTTGCTTCTGTTGAGAAGCAGTTGTTTTTTTTTTCCTTCATAATACTTGTTGAACTCTTACTTAGTGCAAGTTTAACTATATGATCATTAAGTAAACTAAAAATAGATCTTTGTAAAAATTAAGAGTGGGAATGTGAGACAAAGGAGGAGAAAGGGTTGGAGTGTGGGTGGGAGGTGGGGGGAGTGTCACTATGTTCCTAAATCTATAAATGAGATACATGAACCTTGTATAATTTAAATAATTTTTTTTTAAAAAAAGGAACATGGACATAGGAAACAGCAGGTACCAAGCACCAAATGAAAGGTTCAGAAAAGATACTGTGGCCTTTCAGAGAAAAGAGAAACCCATTCATTACTGTGTCAGTAATCATGTTTCTAAAGCAGTTACAGAAAGGGCTGCTTGCATTTTAAAGCATATTAAATTCATTGTTTCATAAAATTAGGAACAAGTTTCTTAGTTTTGTTGGGTTGTTACTCTCCTAGAGAATGAGTTACCTTATTAACAGTACTTTGTCATTTATCAATGTTAGACGTCATTGTCTGGGCGACTTATCTTCATGAAATTTAATGGTGGTACATAAAAATGTTGTGCAAGTTCTATTACTAATATATTTATTGTCTCATGTACAAAAAGAAACATATTCAATATCACTAAACATTTGAGTGTATTGTATTCCTTTTCAAGTTTGTTCTTAATGTACAGCTTATAAAGTTATGGTTGGCTTATTGATAAATTAGGACTTAGACAAAACTATCACTCTTCTATTGTTGCTGAAATGTATTAATTATACATTACATATATAAATTACATATATAAAATGTAAACTCCAAATTACATTTTTCCAAAGTAAATTTTAAGAATATTTGTAACAAAAGCATGGAGGAGTTTTTTTCACATTTTTATCTAATGCTGCATCTATTCTAGCAGCATGAAAAAAAAACTTCAGTTCAGAATGACTTCAAATGTTGATTATCACAATGGGCAACTGTAGTTTGATACATCTATTTGTTGGTTAAAGGGCATTTTTTTATGTTGAAAGATTTTGTTGAACTATGCAATGATTAATATCTGTTAGGGAATTACTTCTCTTTAGCCAAGTTCAAAAAGCCTTGCCTTTTTCTGTTACTTGGCCTTTAGTCAAAAGTCTATGATAAAATCTCATTTAAAGTAGATTTAATATAGTAGATTAAATCTAACGAGGGAGGATATAAAAAAAGAAAATGGAACTAAAGCATAGGACTCGTTTTTAGTTTGAAATCTTGATGCTGTACAATTGATTTTGTAGCTTTGAAATGCGAACATTGATATATTTCAAATGCTTTCTTTAAACTTTTTTTTCTCATTTTATGTTGATGGATAAAGATATGGCCTTTTCAATTTTGCGTTCTAAGGCTTCAACACTGTCTTAGAAATATGAGGGAGGAAAAGATAATTGGTAGGTCTTTGATTGGATTATCTTGGGCTGTTCAAATGATGTTTTTTTCCACTTCACCATATTAGCAGTATACTTTTTCACTATGAATAAGAATTTGCAAAAAGCTCTAGATAAAAAAGGTTACTTACAGTTTGTAAAATGTGCTTAATCCTTTCTTGTGATTATGTCTTTGCTGCATTATCCTATCATTTTTCTCCTGTGTAAATCACTGTCTTTTCAAGCAAAGAGCATTGTTCAAACAGCCCCTGTTGTGTGACTAGGAAACCTGGAAATTAGAGTTTCCTAATTCTGAGTATTTAGACACCAACTGCCTATGGAAACTTATGAAGAAGTTAACACCTGTGGTTTGTGGTGTTCTCATACTGAAAATTATGCTTAAGTTTGCCTACGCGTGAGCCAGAACAGGTCTCTACTTGTCATTATTGCTGAAGCTTGAACCTTGAAAGAGCAAAGATATTTCTGATCGGACTCAACATACTGTTGTATCAGAAGTTTAAGAATATTCTGTTAATCCCAGAGAAGAGATGGTTACAAGCACTTTTTTTTTTTTGGCGGTAATTGAAATGAAAATTGTGCAGTGCTGCTTTTTTCATTACTACATCTTTATAGAGAGTAGTAACTTTTCAGTAAAAACTGATCACATTGGGGCAACTTAATATGTATCTATCTGGCTATCAAAACATGATTTATGTATGGTTTTACCTCTTGTTATGTTTAAAAATTATCTCCTGTCAGTTTTTTCCTAAATAACCTAGTATTTAAGAATCCAAAGTGCTGATGTTTTCTCTCCATGGTGTTCCTAACTCCTTAGTAAGGTTATGATATTTCACCTGTTTAAATAAACTGAAATTGCATAGCCTCTTCAAAACTGTAAGCTTTCTAAAGAGTGATGTTGTAAAAAGTCTTCCAGAAGTTGAAGTCTTCAATTTTTTTTTGCTTTTAGGTCTTCTCCAATGGTCATCTTGGAAGTGAAGAATATGATGTTCCTCCTCGGCTATCTCCTCCTCCTCCAGTTACCACCCTTCTCCCTGGTGTAAAGTGAGTTTCACTGAATTTACAGGTGATTGGTCCATGCATAGAGATATGATGAAGAATGCTTGTGAGGTACTCAATACTCAAACTGCAGTGTGCATGGAAAGGCATCAGTAAAAAATAATCCAGTCAGATAATGAACTAGTGTATCAGAAATCAGAATCCTTCTAATCCTTGCTGCTAACCATGGATTCTATGAAATTTACCTAATACTTGAAATTACACACTGAGAAACAAGGAGAAAAAGTTGAGTATTCCTTGCATCCAAGAAGAGGGTAGGGTACCCACTGAGATCTCCCTTCCAATTTGATGCTCTTCCTCAAAGGTATCACATTTTCTCCCAACTCCCTGTTTTAACATCAAAAGATAGTCCTTGGTTCCTCCAGTTTTTGTATTTCTCAAATCCAGTCAGCCGTTAAATCCTATTGATTATTCTTTTGAGATAGTCATAGCATTCTAATCTACACCATTGCCCTTAGCTTTGTCTCATAACTGGACAGCTAAAAGATCCTTCCATTGATCATCTCCACTTTAAAGTGGAAAGAAAAATCAATAACCTGGATGTCACATTGGAAAAATGGAAACAAAGAGATACTGGACAGTTAAGTCTTATCCCCCCCAGATATAAAACCAAGTATCCCAGTCCTCATTGTCCCATTCTGTATGACATCAGGCTTGCCTATCTTTCACCTAGTGTATTTTGTTCAGTGCAGTTGAGTTCATTTAATCTAAATTCTGGTTTCCCCTGGTTGCATTCTGTCTTAGGTTGGTTTTTATTACAGCAGATTATCTGAGACTGACCTGATTATAAAGAAAAGATGTTTAACATACAGTTTGGCGGTTTAAAGTCCAGGATTGGGTCACTACATCTGGCAGGGACCTCTTACTACTTCATAACATGGAAGAGAAGTGAAGGGGGAAGCTGGGCTGTGCAAGAGAGACCAAAACACATGGTTGACCTTGCTTTATAAAAACCCACTATCGGCCGGCGCTGCGGCTCACTAGGCTAATCCTCCGCTTTGCGGCGCCGGCACACCGGGTTCTAGTCCCGGTTGGGGCACCGGATTCTGTCCCGGTTGCCCCTCTTCCAGGCCAGCTCTCTGCTGTGGCCAGGGAGTGCAGTGGAGGATGGCCCAAGTACTTGGGCCCTGCACTCCATGGGAGACCAAGATAAGTAGCTGGCTCCTGCCATCGGATCAGCGCGGTGCACCGGCCGCAGCGGCCATTGGAAGGTGAACCAACGGCAAAAGCAAGACCTTTCTCTCTGTCTCTCTCTCTCACTGTCCACTCTGCCTGTCAAAAAAAAAAATAAATAAATAAAAATAAAAACCCACTATGGTAATTAATGATAACTAGCGATAGTGGTAACTAATCTGTTCCCACGAGAACTAACGCGCAGCCTCAGGGTAATCGTGAATCCTTCTGAGGGAATCCCCACCACCTCTCACCACCCTTTAGATAAGGGAGCAAGTTTCCAGCTCATGAACGTTTGGAGGACAAACCATATCCAAACCATATACTTGGGCACACAAAATCTATCGTTGTTACCTCTTTCTTGCTATTGAGCTGTATACTCCTCTGCTAGGGGTGAGCTCCTATAGAATATTTATTATCCAAAAAAATATTTTTCAGTGATTTCTAATACTTATAGTGTAATCATGTCCAGATTTTTGTTCTGGCTCTGTAAATTTTTTATGCTCTTCTGTTTGTGCTCCACTTTTTCAGAACCATAGTCCTAAAGGACCATGTCTCAGGTTCTGTTGATTTAAGAAAATTTCAATGACTTCTTCAACTGTGATGGTTAAAACTGATTCACTTTCCTTTCTCTATTTTCAGCACAATAAAGTATGTTACATACGAGAGTTCTTCAAAAAAATCGTGGTAAAATTGAATTGAAAGATGCTGCAGATTTTCAATGAACTTTTTGAAGAACCCTCGTATTTTACTATTATCTAATTTTAATCTGGGTGCCTACATTAGAAAGATTAATAAGGTTTTGAAGATAAAACTTTGTGTTTGGTCTGTGATTCTCCCATAATGCCTTACTGTATTTAATGTATAATAAGTACAGCCGGGATATGTGGTTACTTGGTTGACTGATTTTAATTTTATCTGCCAAGGTCTTCATCTCCAGTTATAAGTGCTAAGACTTCTTCATTCCTGCCTTTACAGGGCAATGTATATATGAATGCACAAGAAGAATAGGTTAGAGCCCAGCCCTCAGAAATTTACATTCTGTGGGGTTTTTCAAACGAGGCGACAGGACACAGGAGCATCCAATCTAAGAGCGCATCACTGGATAGCCATGCGCTCCCACTTTTGTTTAGAGGGTACCAGCAAGTCTACAAGCCAGCAGGCATGTAGGCAAGATTATACATCAACTTAAGGATTTGGGAAAAGGAATTCAGTCTGGTAGTCTAAGATAAGGATTGGAGCTGTGTTGTAAATCTTCAGTGACAGGTCCAAATTTACAAGTTCCAGAAAATATTCCAGGTAGCAGTTCATGTCCATTAGCCCCCTGCTGCTCCGGCTGCCACATTGGTTTGAGGCAGTGTGCCCATCCCAAGCCTATTTGGTGTAAACAGAAACTGTGGCCTTGCCTCTAATTTCAGGGGGATGTGCCCCGCTGAGAGGCACTTACACAGCATCTCTACAACATTAATATCCATGAAATCCTCAGAGAACAGTACATGCTAATTGTATAATACTAACTTGTTAGTTTTATATGGGTTTGGAGGACTTTGAAATTTGTTACTTTTTGTAAGTCAAACCTATTTCATGAAATATAGCAAATGGCCTGAGTCATAGAGGATCAGCACAATTGGAAAAGGCAGTGCATTAGAAAAAACAAAAGTTTAACATTTGACGTCGTGCAGAAACAGTATGAAACTGAGTTCTTTGGGCCGTTCTCCAGTGCAACAGACGTGGAAGTTGGAAATGGTAACCTATATTAGGTGTAGTACGCTCTTAATCAGTGAGAACATAGGATGGTAGTCTAGCCCCAAATGAACTCTAGATATATGTATATGTATATGTAATAAAACATCTAAGCCCAATTACCACTGGTAATTCAGAGAACATTAGAAAATGAAGTAAATGTAACCTTGCTAATTAGAAATTAAATTTTCACATCCTGTTTATTAAATTCATATTGACAAGTTGTATTCAAGATGAAGGCTGCAGTGACTTCATTTATTTCTAAGATTTAGTGTATGCTTCTGCTGTAAATAAAGCAAGAATAATAAACTCACAGTAAAATGTATTAATATTTTTCTAATACTTCAGTTTGGAAGTGCATCTAAAATAAGCCATGTGCTTTTATTTTTTCACCCCATTTACTCTTCATTTTTCTTTCATAAACACTGCAGTTATTTTAATTTACTACAGAAATATTTTAACAATGCATGCATGCTTAGCAGAAAATTATTTTTGTGTTTTTCATGCTGCTAGTTAGCCAAACTTAACAATGCAAATGTTAGAGTTTAATGAGGTATTTTTATCTCTGGAGTTTCTTTTTTGTAGCAGCTGTTCATTATGAACATATATAAAGTATATAAAAGAAAGTATCATATACCCTAACAACACACACAAAAGCTTAAACATAAGTGTCCATAATTTAATACTTTGACATTTTTATTGATTTTTAAGTCATTTAAATTATATATAGAGATAATTTCGTGTCCTCCTTTGTCACCTAATATTGTCGAAAGCCTTTTTCTTGTTTATTCGTTGTGTATATTGTGAAATCATGGAATTCTGAAGTGAGCTGTGGGATAAAATCAAACTAGATTTTTTTGTACATCTTATTTTGAATGAAATAAGTGTCTGGGCCCCACTAGCTGCAACTCATAGTTGAAAGGATCAGTTCAACTTAAATTATCTCTAAAATTCTTTTAAGCATCAGCATTTTAGGTTCTATAAAATATATTTTTTATTTTTTTAAGATGTATGTATTTATTTGAAAGTCAGACTTATACAGAGAGAGGAGAGGCAGAGAGAAAGAGATCTTCCATCCACTGGTTCACTCCCCAGTTGGCCGCACCAGCCGGAGCTGCGCCCATCTGAAGCCAGGAGCCAGGAGCTTCTTCTGGGTCTGCCATGCGGGTGCAGGGGCCCAAGGACTTAGGCCATCTTCTACTGCTTTCCCAGGCCATAGCAGAGGCCTGGATCGGAAAGTGGAGCAGCTGGGTCTCGAACCGGCACCCATATGGGATGTTGGCGCTTCAGGCCAGGGCATTAACCCGCTGTGCCACAGCGCCAGCCCCACAATATATTTTTTAAGTGGGTATCAATTGTGTGTCAAATTTTGACAACTTGAATGTTTCTTTACATATGATCATATCCTATTACTAAAAAACATGTAAGTTGGATTATTGCTCTAGTTTATTATTATTATTGTTAATCTACTTTGGCCTCATTGGATAGTTTAACCAGTGTACAATGAGTATAGACCCTTGGCTCTAAGAGGATCTTAGAAAAGAGATCTTAGCAAAAGGTCACTAACAGAAATAAGAATGTTGTATGGTCAAGTAGTAATTTTCATGCTAGATTCAGTGCGTGTTTCAAAACCAGGCCAGAAATAAAATTATAAGTTGCTGCTTAACATAACCCTTTGCATACCTCAAAAATATTGAAAACTTCAGTGCTAAATTTAAGAATGTCAAAGCTAACATTCACATTTCAATTTGTGTTATATTATTATAAATATCTATTGAAATGCCATTACTCTAATTCCCATTTACTCAATATTAGAGGCTACTCTGTGATAGCATTTCTTTTAATGATAAAACTACATATCTTTGCAATGATATGATTTTCCTTGTGGAATTTATCTTGAGACCCAGGAAATTTATACAGTTTATTTCTAAAAATACTTTTACTGTTTTAAAAGTAAGCTGAGACTGTAACTGTTTGCATATATATATATATTAATTTTCTGAAATAATTATTTTTCCAAGTTCTCCTTCACATCATTACATTTAGGTGTTAAATATAAAATTTTAAGTAAGCACTTGAAACATGGGCAATTATTACTTCTAAGGAGAAAATAAAAATTATTTATGGATTATTTTTTACTTTATGATTTAAATTGTTTACTGAATTGTATTTATCTTGAAGTAATTTGGTTTTCCAAAATTACACCTACAGAGGCAGAACTGAGACTTGAACCCAGGTTTTCTGATGTGGGATGTGGATATCTTAACCACTATACCAAATGCCCATCCCTAATAAACTCATAGTTTTACAAGAAAAAGTGTCAAAGTTGGGCTTATTGATTATTGTTATGTATTTTCTAAATAGAAAAGAGCTGATATTTTAGTTTCCATGGATGGAGAATCCAGATTTTACCTAATTATCCTAGTCTTGTTCAGTTACTGTATTAACTTGAGATTCAGCATGAACAAGATAAATCCTTGCCCTTTTTGGAGTTTATGCTCTAGTTAAGAAGAACAGAGAGCAAACAAATAGCAATATTGTATATTGTCAGCTAATGGTAAGTGCTGGAGGAAAAATAGACTGGAAGGGAATAAGTAATGATGGAGGGATTTATACTTTAGATGAGGACATTAGCAAGGACCTCTGTGAAAGGGTCATACTGGAGCAGAACCCGAAAGAAGTAAGAGAGCAAGTCATGATCCTGTGCGTGAAGAGTAGGAAAGCTGGACAGCACACAGGTGCACAGCAACCTCAAATCACTTCCTCCAGTTAAAAAAAAAAAGTTGTGAAAATATGGATAATTAAAGCTTATCTTGAAACTTAATAGTATGCCATGCTGCCTTTTCCTGATGTCATTAAAATACTTTTAAATTTAGCAAGTGTATTATAAAACTCATTTGGTAAAATGATTTATTTATGGCACATGTGCAGTAATCATTTCAAAATATAGCTGTATTTTGCATTACATCTTCTCTGGGCTATGATTTCTCTGAGTTAGGCATTTTCTCTGTTAGGATTGGTTTGGTACAATATAACAAATGCAGAATAATATAAATGGCCAGATTTAAAAATTCTACTTTAACAAAAGATAATTTTTAATACCTTACTCTCAAACATTATTGAGATTCTTAAATGTAGAAAACAACCAAAATGGTGTATCTCATTTAAAATGCTTTTCTAGGTTATTAAAAGATCCTATAAGTGATTAGTGTTGTACCATTACCAGGCTATCATTTCTCCAATAACTACTCATTGTTTTTGTCTAAAAACTTACATGTACTCAGTTATGTACAAACCATGCCAGACAATGGTTGACTGAAGGTTCTTCTTTAAATGTTTTGCAATTCAAGACACAAATAGAAGTGAGACATAGGTAAATCTATAGAAGACATAATATTAATGAATGAACATAAACTGAATACACACCATGGACAAGATTAAAGTTAGAAGAAAATCATTGAACTTATGGAGAAGTATCCCGAAGTTTCAAATATAGACAATAAATATTGAGGTTTCTACTTTGCTTTTTTCCTATGGAATTTGATAGGCTAAATGAGATGGCAAAAGTTGCTCAAATGAAGGTGAGAAAAGCACTTGGCAAGGGTGGCGTTTGAGCTGTAAATTGTAAAGGTTACAGATGATGAGATGTGCAGAAGGTCACCCATCTGAGGGTCTGCTTCTCACACCAGGAATCAACTCAAGGAGTGATTTGTACACTTTTGGTTTCAAAACATAAAAGTCACTAATTAAAGTACAGCATTAGAAAACAGCCCCTTTTGTCCCTCTGAAAATCCACCTGTTTCTTGGTTTGTTTCAAATGTGCACACAGCAAACTGAATGTATTTCACACTGAAAGCTCAAATAACCAAGGCACAGTGAATTGAGATAAAGTCGATTTTCCAGGCTTTATTAAAATGATGGTAAATAGGACATTTCAGAACTTTTTTCATATTTAAATACAGATACCAGTGGAAGACATTTTGTCACTAGTAGATATAATTCACTAAAATTTATTTAAGCTAACAGTCCATAACTAGTAGGTTGTGGCTACAAGATCTTATTATTCTATAAAATACCAGATGAGCTGCACTTCACATTTCACTCAGAAATGCTATCTGTTTATTTGTAGCAAGGCAAAAGATTAGTGGGAAACTAACTAGTTAAAGTTTTATGTTATTGAAGATAAAATATGGAATTAGCCACTACAGATGTGGTTTAAACAATTGTCTTCTTGACTCTCGATGAAGTATGTTTTTGAACACATCTAAGTCTTTGGGAGTAATGTACTGCAGGTGGATATTAAAACTTTCCTAACATTGATGGGGTGTTGAATATTTGAGCAAGTATTTTTGGTTTTCTTTATATAGTATATGCTTAAATTGCACAAGACACAGCTAATTCATTATGAATGAAAGTTATGAATATTCATATTATTATATTATGTTATATTTAATGTATATTGCATTTCATATATATTATATTAATTTTATTCATTATAAATAAAATAGAAATGATGTATGCAATTCTCATTTTATTTGCTAAGCAAACCCATTCTGACCCTTACATTGCTTAACTTGATGTCTTTGTTTACAAGAATTTATAGCAAAATAATGTTTTAAATCCCTGCTGTATTACCATAAGATCACTATTTTGCACCCATGTACCTACTTGTTTTCGATTGGGAAGGAAACCCTCCAAGGTTGAGTCCTGGTGTGTATAATTACATTATTGATAAGGTTCTCAGCGTTTGTTCTGAGCAGCTGCATTGGACCTTCTGCCACTGCATCACTTGGCTTTCATCTCACCATAAACTGCCGCTTGAATTCCATGGCAGCTTACACAAACAGGAATTCAAAGATCAGTACTGAAAAATTCTTCAAAGACAGGTAAAAATACACTTCTGAAAATGTTAAGAGAAACTTGCCTTTGATCTCTGAACTTCCTAGAGACTTAGACACATGGTTAAAACCTGAAAACCTTTAGGTTTTTTCAAACTGATGTCTAGTAATGGGCACAGAGAGTAGCCTTTAAAATTATTAATTTTTTTAAAAATGTTTCCATTTGGAATAGAGGTTTTAAGCTTCCCTAATATGAAAATCCAAAATGTCACTCTTAGAGTGTGAAAAAATTTTGGAATTTGGAGCATTTTAGATTTCAGATTTTCAAATTAGGAATACTCAAACCAGTGAAGTGTGTGCAGGCAGTTCAGCAATCTGGGAAAAAATCTGAGATTGAACGTGTTTCTGATTCCAAGCATATTGGACTGCTTACTCAACCTGCAGGAAGAAGAAATCCAAAGGAAAAACTTGTTCTAGGCATGATGGCACCATATACCAAAGGCCTCTTGCTCCCTCTACAGAAGGTGCTTCAGAATTGCAGGCACTTGATGGTTTCTGGCTTGTTGCTCTTTTTAAGAATGCAAACGGATTTTTTAAGAGAGTCATGATGTTTAATCAAAAGACATGGGTCATCGTGTATCCCCAGTGTGTTACACTCAGTAAGGTTGGGTTTGTGCATTTCTACTTTTGCACTTTTCTTTGGCATCGGCAAGGATCAGATTAAACCTCAACAGTAACACTTGTGAAAAACAGTAGGTTTCTATGCTCTTGCTTATTTGCATTTGTGTTTTTATTATTATTATTATTGATTTATCCCCAAGGATAAGTAAAATGCTTGGAAATTTCTTTAGCATTAGGTTTTGATTTTACTCATTTGAATCCTCTTTTATTTAGCCCCAGAATGTGAGCCATAAAGACAATGCGCTCTACTTCAAAGACTTGAAGTCCTCTTATTGTTTGCTTCTAACTTTTAAGTTATTGCATTCATTTTTAGTTCTCGGTTGTGGGCAAAAACAAGTTTAATAACTTAAATTATTTCACAGGAGAGTTTCCACTTCATTGAATTAATTAGGATTTTTTTTAACTATAGGTAATATTCACAAGAGACAAAAAGTTTGACACTTTTATAAAGACTTCATTAATATATAAAGTAACTTTGCATGTATTTTTATCATCTTCACCATTTAAATTGGAACAAATGTTAATAGCTTAATAGCTTTGGTTTGAATGATTTTATTCATTTTCTTTTATAATGCCAACTTGTCTTTGTTTTCTTTGACAGGTTATTAGTTTTTCTTATTGTGCCATTTAAAATTATAGGTGTGAAATTTTTTATAACTGTCAGGAGAATCTTAACAAAAGATTGAAAATCCTTTCCATTTGCATTTTGTATAAGAACAGTTCCTTATATGTTACCCCATTACTGGAAAGTCAACATAAATGACAAAGTAGTTTCTTAGATTTGAGTATGTCATGTCAGAATTTCCTGTTCTGATTATTCTGCTCAAACTAGATTGGATTTTTTTCCCCCTGGTAGGTGTACTGGTCCGTTAGCAAATTCTCTTTCAGAGAAAACAAAAGACCTGGTAGAAGAAGATGATGATGAATACAAGATTCCTTCATCCCATCCTGTTTCCCTGAATTCACAACCATCTCATTGTCATAACGTAAAACCTACAGTTCGGTAAGAATGTGGACAGCTTTTTCCAACCTGACATCCACATAAGTGTTATCATTTGTGGTGTTTGTTTTACAGAGCTGAATCACATCTATTTAATTAAAAATCCTTGGTTTTCTGCCCAAAGCCTCTTCTCTCTATGTGTTATTTTATGTATTACTTTTGGAGAAAGCTAAGTATAGTGGGAGATTTTCTTGCCTTACCCACCTCCCCCAAAAATTATAGGCTAAAAAAATTTTTGGTAGACATTATGTAGTCATGAGTAATTCATACATTTTCCATAAACTGCTATAATTTATTTTATCAATTTTAAGCACATATCTCATGAAGAAAAATTAATGCTTAGAAACTACAGTATTATGAAAATGTGTTTAGACTTTCTTCATGATATAAAGACTAGTAAATTTACATAAATTTTCCAATTTGATGTGTTGCCTATTTCAATTCATATCTTCAAGAAATAGATAGATATATATATATATATATACACTCCTAAAGTTATTTCTGCTGTTTTTAATTAAGCACCATTTTACCTTTGCTTGGATCAAATAAGAATGTGAGGAATAGTAGTTTTGTTTGCTTCCCTTTTTTAGTTCCCTCTATAATGGAAATATCCTTAGTATTTGAAGTGTCAGCCACTTGAAGGTATATGAGAAGGTCTTCAAAAGTCCATGAAAAATTTACATTACCAAAAAAAATGCATGTTTCAAATTTTTTTCACCAAAATAAGCTTCTCTCTTTTTATTTTTATCATTGATTTATTTTTATTTACTTGAAATGTAGCATGACAGAGAGAGAGGGAAGAAGAGAGAGAAAGAGATCTTCCATCTGCTGGTTCATTCCCCAAATGACTGCAATGGCCAGGGCTGGACCAAGATGAAACCAGGAACCTGGAACTCCATCCAGGTCTCCAATGTTGGTGACAGGGGCTTGGGCCATCTTCCGCTGCTCTCCCACATGCCTTAGCAGAGGGCCAGGACACCAACAGACTCTCATATGGGATGCTGGTGCCACAGGTTGTAACTTAACCCATTCCACTGCAATGCCAGACCCCAAACTTAGCTTTAAATTTCATTTTGTCCTTGAACTTTTAAAAGTACTCTCATATTAGAATTATTAACAATGGGTGCTATGTATTAAAATATTAATTTGTCCTATGTGAAACATTCTGCATGTAAGTAATTGAATTAATAAGCTGTAATGTAGTAATGTTGATTTTTTGATTGGCATATATGAGGGACTCAGTAATCCAATCTCAACTTCAGAACTACTCACTCAGCTCCAGTTTTCTTTGTATTACATTCCTGGGGACATCTTTATTAGGGTGCCATTTCCCTCTGGGGTCAAGTCAATCAACTGAAAGCACCTTATGAGTGGAGTGTTCCCTTCTCAGATGAAAAAACTAAAAAAAAAATGCATTAATGCCTTTTTTCAAGTACCTCACTGAGAGTGAAAAATGCAGTAGTTGGGAAGAAGCTAATCTTAATTTTAACCAGAGGTGTCTTAATAATTGATCCTGGTTAGAATTATCAGCATTCTGCAGAATTATTAACCAGGATTGGTAACATTGTACCATCCAGGGTTTCATTTTTCAAAGGAAGAACCAAAACATTTCTTTCTAATTGCTGGTGTTTAAGACATTTGTTGATAAAATAGAATCATTTAGAAGACAAAGTAATAACTGGAAGGCAATTTATTATGTCAGAAGAACCAAATGTCCACTGATCTATTAGAGAAAAAAGTTATTCCTTCTCATCAAATATAAATTGTTATAATCTTTAGTTCCTGTGCCTCTTACAAATGTGTAGTAATTTTAAACTGAAATAGGATAAGCCTTTCTGGTCACTTTGGGTGTCTCAGTTTTTTGTTGTTGTTGTTTTTTTTTGTTTTTTTTTGTTTTTGTGCTGGAGAAATGAGAGGTATAATTTTAATCTGTTAAATTTTAATTGTATCATCCTATTAGATTTTTGGTGGCAGGCCTCCCGAAATCCTGAAAATAAACTTGAATTATAACCATCTTTAACTCCTTTCCACTGTTATAGAGAAGTAATAAATGTTGATAATCCCTAAACTTAATTGAAGTGAGTTCCTTAACTAATTTGTTCTTGAAAGCTGATGAATGAAGCATAGTTTTGTGTCCTCTCCAAAGCACTGTGGAATCTGAACATTCCTTTCCCAGTGTGGTGCCCCTCCTTTGGAATATCAGAAGTACCTTGTCAATGTGTGCAGAAAGTGAAACAGTGAATGAATAATTAAATTTAGTTTCAGGAAAAATCTGTCATTATTACGAAGATTCAATACATGATAACTATTTTTAAATGAACCATATCTGGCCCGTTGAAGAGAAGTGGCCACCAGAGAGAATAAAAATGAATTTCGATGAAGCACTCTTGTAATATCTATTCAGATATACAGTATCTCTCCATTATGGTTGTACATTTAAGAATTCAGAATAAATCAGAGAAAACTAAAATGTGAACTCTGCCTTTCTAGCTTTTTTGTTGGTTGCTAGTTATGCAGCTATACACTGAGTAGCAACAGTTCTGTAGCCATTGTAATCCTTGGTTACAGTTAAATAAATAAAAAAAAGAACAAGAGTGATTGACTATTTGTCTTCCTTGGGGTATTTACTTACATTTTTTGTCAAGGTAAGGGTAACAGTATCTAGATATTATTATTATTGGTACTATTCCTGGAAAAGGAAGTTAAATATGTTTAATTTAAAACTTTGTTATATGAACATGGATACTAGTTCCCTCTATTTCTCAAATGACTTAAAAGTAATTTTCCTTATATGACTTTTGCCCTTTGGTTTCTGTTTAGGTCTTGTGATAATGGTCATTGTATATTGAATGGAACACATGGTACGTCGTCAGAGATGAAGAAATCAAACATCCCTGAGTTAGGCATATATTTAAAGGGTATGTATAAAATATGTTCTCCTTTGTGGTCTATATCTTGATAGTCAGAATTTAAAGGCAAAATTCCATGCCCTTGTTGTACTGAAAATACATTAAGGCTTTGTGTTATCCTCTAGGAGATGTTTTTGATTCAGCCTCTGATCCAGTGCCATTACCACCTGCCAGGCCTCCAACTCGGGACAATCCAAAGCATGGTTCTTCACTCAACAGGACGCCCTCTGATTATGATCTTCTCATCCCTCCATTAGGTTAAAAACTTTAAAAAACTTTTTCACATACCCCCTCTGCCTCTTCTCTCCATGTCTGAGAATGGTCCTGAAATTAGCATGAGTTCTGCAGGTGATGGTGGTACCCAGGTTCATGTGCCCATTCTCCCTTTAGATGATTAAGTGACCATCAGCCAGCATTATTCAGGTTGTCTCTCCTATGCTTAATACAGTATAAAAACACATGAGTGCATGGTTTGTTCCCCTGAGCTTTGGTGTTCTTCAACTTTTTTTCATTAATGTTTGATGTGTTGAGATTTTCTTTAAATATAATAATTGTTCATAAATATGAACATATTTTCCAGAATGAAGTGATCCAGTGCCGCTTATCCTAAATTAATAATAGAAAATTCTATGTCTATTCAAGGAATAAACTCTGCTTTACCCCAATCATCAAAACTGCAACATTGTCAAATAACTTCAGTTTCTTTGCTTTAAGTGATGATATATGAAGTGTGTTTGTGGCACTTGGATTTTCAGCACATGTAGATGTGTGTGTGTTTTGAAGTTGTTTATGTCTTACAATAATGGTCATTGTACCTTGAGTGGAACACGTGGCACGTTGTCAGAATTGAAGATAGCAAACATACCAGAGTTAGACATATACCTAAAGGGTATGAATAAAATATATTCTCCTTTGTGATCTGTATTTTGATGGTGTTATCATCACTGCTAGTTTCATTAGTTCCAGGTAGGAAGCTCCTCAACTTGTTTTTAGAGGAAGAAAATTAGAATCTCCATGCACCTAAAGGTTTCCTAATGAGAAATCTTCATAACACAAAATACTGTGTTATGAAGTTCCATGTATAAGTTTTTCTGAATTGACTGTTAGCCTCTAGAAAAATGAAATAACCTTTTTGTTTTCTCACAAACACCATTGACCAATGTTTTGAATTACACAATTGCAATGTCTTTGTCTCCTGGTCTCTCTGTAGTTCAGGGTTTTATTCTCACTCACATTAATTGTAAGAGTTTCTCCTAACTTCCTCCTCTACAGACTTTTCTCCCTCCCACTTATTCTTGACCTGTAATCCACATCTTCATGACCTAGGTGACTGTCCCCTGGAACTTCTGTGGGATGTGAAGGATCTATATACTTGCCTATGGTTAAGTGTGACTGTGGGGCTCAAGTTTTGTTAATTTAAGTTTAAATACCTTTCTCTCTGTCTCTGTCTCTCACTGTCCACTCTGCCTGTCAAAAAAAAAAAAAAAAGGCTGGCGCCATGGCTCAATAGGCTAATCCTCCGCCTGCAGCGCCGGCACACCAGGTTCTAGTCCCGGTTGGGGCACCGGATTCTGTCCCAGTTGCTCCTCTTTCTGTCTAGCTCTCTGCTTTGGCCCGGGAGTGCAGTGGAGGATGGCCCAAGTGCTTGGGCCCTGCACCCGCATGGGAGACGAGGAGAAGTACCTGGCTCCTGGCTTCAGATCAGCACAGCGCGCCAGCCGCGGCTGCCATTGGAGGGTGAACCAACGGCAAAAGGAAGACCTTTCTCTTTGTCTCTCTCTCTCTCTGTCCACTCTGCCTGTCAAAAAAAAAAAGTTTAAATAGCTATGTATGGATGGTGACCACCTTACTGGACGATCCAGATAGATGATCTGACTGTCTTTTGAACCTCAGCATCTCACTTTGTTCATGCCATTCGCCCTGCGTAAAAGAGCCCATCCTTGCATGAATAAATGTTTCTAAGCCCTCTTGATGTTTCAGGCCTTCCTGTTTTTCAGCACTTCACTGAATGCCACTTGCCTGTATTTCTCCTCTCTCTTTCAATACATTTATTTATTTTGGGAGCAATCAAATGATTCCACCTCTGAATCATGCTTATTTGTGAATTATTATTATTATTATTATTATTATTTTTAGCTACTCTCATGGAATCCATGCTCCTTTGAGTGAGGTCTTTGTGATTTTGGTCTTCATACCACTCATGTTCCTGAGGTGGCCTCTATTGTGTAGAGACTGAGAAAGGATTTGCATAAACATGATAATTTCGTAGATAGCTGAAGCTTGGAATGATATAAAAGCTCTCCAGTATCTTCAAACATTTTAGATTTTAAAAAATGTATGGTGATTAGGGACAGTGTTATGCATGTTTTTTGTAAGGCAAACTCAATGAATAGTAAAATCGTTTTCTTTAAATAAAATAGTTTTCTTTGAATTTAAGGTCACTCGACTGCATATGAATTTTTATTACTGGAATATGTAGGTGTTTATGTAAAGACTACCTTATTCACAAGGTATTTGAGAGAACTTACAAAAATACATGCACTATGTTTTTTTAAAGATTGAGGTAAGAAAAACTATGAGTAGAATACTAAGGTGTGGAAAAGTGTGCTGTAGTAGTCTATAGTACTAAAGCTGAGGAGTATACAAATTTAAGTTACTAGCTTTTGAGTCTACCAGAAGAAGTTTTGTATTTCACTGTTCCTTAGAGATATCAGATAAGTAGAAAAATATCATATTCCTCTACTCTAGATGCCGTTCTGTATATTTTGGCAATAAGTTAAATGTATATAACATTGGTTTACAGGATTTTAAATCCAGTGGGAAAATTTTATGGGTAATTCAAGCTATTTGATGGTGTGACTCATAATAAATTTTAGTTCCAACTTCTAAGTTCCTAATATTATAAAATAAAGGTTACAAGTGATACATGAGCTGTTTCCTAACCTGCAATTCTGCATTTTATGGAAAGACCTGAGAGAAAAATTTGGCATGGTTTGCATTTATATATATGTGTTTTTCCCCAAACAGTCCCACAAAATAATTATATCACATTATCAAAGTTGCTGAACTGCTGGATAAACCCTGCAGAAAGTCAGTTGTTGCTTTTGCTTGATAAGGTGTGTCTGGATTGATGAAGTTCTGCTCTTGATATGGATCTTTCTTTAAATGCAGGTGAAGATGCTTTTGATGCCCTCCCTCCATCCCTACCGCCTCCCCCACCTCCTGCAAGGCACAGTCTCGTGGAACCTTCGAAACCTCCTGGCTCTGGTAGCCGACCATCCTCAGGACAGGACCTTTTCCTTCTTCCTTCAGGTAGGAGGGGACAAAGCCAAAGAAAACTTTTAAAGTAAAGCAGAACTATTTCTAAGATCCTACTATCAGATAAGCATTGCTTCATTCGGCTCTACTTTCCTACCTAAACACCCCGAGTGGTGAGAGTAGCAGCAGTAGGGTTTTTGTCAATTGATTGGTTTAATCCTAACGGGGTTATAAAGATAACAAGTGCAGTCGGAAATGACAGAGGGCAGAACTGGTGATGTGGAGATCATCCAGTGCTTTGTATAACCCCCTGATGCTGGCAGAGGCTTCCCTGAGAACCATAACTGCTAAGTGTTTAGGCTAATAGTAAGGGGGACAAAATTTAGACTCTTTGCCTCCCAATTTCCAATGCAAGTGTTACTTTTTAATAAGTTTTAAAGTTTTTACTAGATGTGATTTATGGTCATAATTTTATTCAAAACAAGATTTTGGTAAATTACATGGCTACAACACAAATAGAGACTTTTTCCTGAAATATCTACATTATTTTGTTTTGTTACTCTTTTTGTTTCTAACATTTCAAAGGATCTACTCCGTATTACTGTCTTCAAGGGAAAATACCATTTTTACAATAATATATTTCTAAATTTCTGAAATGAAGAAAAGAAATGAAAATGAAGAGAATTAGCAATTTAGTAAATGCCCCTTTACATTAAATAAAATGAAACTTGTTTAAGCTATTTTATTTCATTTATAGATTTGCTTGTTTTTCTTTTGCTTGGCTGCCACATAGCTCAACATCCTTCCTTATCCTAAAGTGTGGGGCTAAAATTGGGCCAAGATAGTAACCTCTGCACAGGACTCTTTCTTGTCCCTATTTTATACATGAAAGTATTCTAATTCCATTTTCAAGACTGTCGACATAACATTGATAACCCATACTTTTAGGAAAACTACAGCACTTTTTTTTTTCTTTTCCTGTCTTTCATAATATTAACATGACAAGCTTCTCGTCTGGTGCCTGATCCTTTGTGACCTCCACTGTGACAATTAGTTTCATTCATTTTAAAGCCGTATATATTAGCTCTCCTCCTTTTCAAGAGAAGCTGATCCTATTACATAATATCACGGAACATCAAAAGTCTCTTTTGACTCATAAATAAGCATTTGGGTGTCATTTTGCAGAGTATTTAATACATTATACTCTCGAAAGAAATACAGTGAAAGATTCATGACAGCAGTTCTTCACCCTAAGGACTGAACTTGTTGAAAGGATTCTCTTTAGATATTAAAGTTCAGCTCAGTAATTTTAGAACCATAAAAAGCAAGCAAAGCTTTTTGGTGAGTTTAAACTATGTCTGTGTGTGGATTTTACTGCTTCTGTTTTCACTATAGTTCCATCTGTGGAATACTGGTCCTATTTAATGAGTCTTTTCTAACCATTATGAAGACGTAATTTCCTTGAGGAGATACTTATCCCTAATTAAAGGCAAAGGACAGATGCCTTAGAAAAAGAGGTTGGGTTTTCTTATATTATATTAAATACCTCATCAGAGCTACATTCTGTGCCTTGCACAATTGAGCCATGCCCAGCTTTCCAAATGTGTAGCCCATTGAGTTCTCTATAGTAGCAGTTTTCAAATTGCAGGGTCCTGTGTTTCTGTATAGAAACCCCAGGGCTCCTGTAGATCAAGAATGGAAGCAAAGCAGAGACATAGCTTTGGTTCTTCTTTTATCTATTTTCTATTTTCAGGACTCCGTATAAGACATCTTTTGGCAAAATAGTAATGCTCACTGCTGTCCATGAGCCATCTCTTCTGGACAGGCTAGTCATATCTAAACAAAATATGGAGGCCTTCACAAAAACTCCACTATTTCCTATGTCCAAAGCCAAGGCTATTTCTAGTGTATATGTAATTTTTTTCTGTGTTACACAAAAAAAAAAAAGGCACTTCTTTTGTGCTGGTGTGTAGAAATAGAAACTCCTACATCTGCTTTGTGCCAGGGCCAGTGTTCGAGGAACAAAGCAGAGGCTGTTTTTAAGTCTTTCTCACACCCATGACTGAGCACACAAAATCCATAACGTGTCTTGCAGCCTGATTCTGCAGCACCTTTAAGTCTGAGAGGCACTGGGCAAGCGTATAACCAAAGAAAAGCACCACATGTTACTATATTAAACTAAAGAAACAGAGGTGTTCAGCCAAGAGAAGACAAGACCTTGGATATAGGTTAGAATTGTCTTCAACTGCAGTGTTTATGAAAGAAAAATTCTATTTCATGTCACCCAGAGGGTAGAAGACTAATGAATGCTGTTAATAAAAATTATATTCATCATAAAGAGAAAACATTTCCTAAATTGTTGAGAATTGTTCTACCTCAGGGAAGTATGAATTCTCCAGCAGTGGAGGGTTTTAGTCAGTGGCTTTCATGAAATGTTGGAGAATTTATGAAGATGAGTCAAAGAGTAAGAGCAGCATGAGGGAAAAACTTTGGTATGTGTTAATGGTTCTTTTTTTTTTTTTGGCTTTTAATTTTATATTTTCTAATTTATTCCACAAGCAATTTCACATTTAAAATTCTTTTCTAAAGTATATTACTTACCAGTTTAATAAACTTAATATACTTTCAAATCCACATTTCTTTGTGGTTGTTGTTTTCTCCAGAAATCTTTTATTTAAGGTATAGGAACATAGTGATCTTTAAACCTCTTGCAGCAATTAGGTTCTGCACTGATGTGCTCTTTGAAAATGTGTGGGATAACTGATAAATCTTCCAGATGGTTTATGGATAGCTGCAGAAGGAATAGGTCATTGTTTAAACTGTTCAGTTTTACTTTCCTCTTTTTCTATGCTTGAATAAAAAATTTGAAAGTATTTCAGATAATGAAAAGAAAAAGAATTCCATGTTACTTCCTCTCAAAGATAAACACTGATAGGTTTCCTTCCATTTTTTGTCAATTTCTGCGTAAGTTGATGTTTCTGTAAAATTTATATCACATAATATCTATTGTTTATAACTTTTTCCCACTTTCTGTGTCACGAGCATTGTTCATGCTGTTAAATATTCTTAAAAAAAGATTTATTTCTTTATTTGAATGTCAAAGTTAGAGAGAGAGAGAGGGAGAGGCAGAGAGAAAGAGACAGATCTTCCATCTGCTGATTTACCCTCTACTTGCTTCCAATGGCCAGGGCTGGGCCAGGCCAAAGCTAAGAGTTTGTTCCAGGTCTCCCACATAGGTGTCAGGAGCCCAAATGCTTGGGCAATACTCCAATGCTTTTCGCAGGCCACTAGCAGGGAGCTGGCTCAGAAATGAAGAAGCCAGACATGAACTGGCGCTGATATGGTGCCACACCACAGCCCCTGTTAAATATTCTTACACAACAAGCTATTGATTGATGCATATTTTTTCACTTCTTTTTTGGATAGCAAATTCTCTCCTCCTAGTCATTCCTTATTTTGCATCATCTCTAAACATTAAATTTTCAGTTTTGCATTGCATACTTTAAACCACAGGCAATAGTACTTTGGATTTTAAAACATATTGATCCCACTGTGTGTATTCATTCACTTCTCAAACATCTCTATATAAATGACACATTGCCTATGGTAGTTTCAGTTTGTATATTTCAATACTAAATGTGGATAGGAATTTTTATATTAATTAGTCTGTGAAGAATTTATTTTAGAAAGGTTTTATAGCTGCCCAAAATTTCCTTATCAGAGGACAGCTAGTAATTACTGTGTCCTGTGTAGTAATTGTGCTGTGTATATCTAAGCCTTTGAAGCATGAATGCTTCCAACGCTACAGCTTGCTAAAGAGCACAGTTTACTCTCCACCTGACCATAGCTGCTTAACATTCCAAAGAACATGGTAGTGATTCGAGCCATAAATAAATATTTCTGATTTTTATGGCCTTTGTAAGTAAAATAGCATAATGGAGCAATGTCATACCAACTGTGTTTGTAGTCTCACCTACTTATGGCTCTGAAATACATCCAGAATTTACCTTTAAGTTTTAAATAAGTAGATGTGATTAGAAATACCCTAAGTATATCTGACTAACTTTTATATACTAAGGAATAAAAAAAACATGTTATAAAAGACAACCATGGGGCCGGTGCTGTGGCACAGTAGGGTGGGCCACCACTTGTAGTGCCAGCATCCCATGTGGGTGCGGGTTCATGTCCTGGCTGCTCCTCTTCCAGTCCAGCTCTCTGCTGTGGTGGAAGATGGCCCAAGTGCTTGGACCCCTGCACCTGGGTGGGAGGCATGGAAGAAGATCCTGGCTCCTGGCTTCGGATCAGCCCAGCTCCAGCCGTTGCGGCCATTTGAGGAGTGAACCAGCAGATAGAATACCTTTCTGTCTCTTCCTCTCTCTCTCTGTAACTCTACCTCTCAAATAAGTGCACAAGAACATTTTTTATTGAATATTTAAAAATAAATGTTTAATAGCAGGCATTTGACCCAGTATTTGAGATGCACTCAAACTACATCTGAGTGCCTGTGATTCCTGGCCCTGGCTCCTGGCTCCTGGCTCCTGGCTATGGGTCCTGCGAATGCAGAACTGAGAGGAAGTAGTAATGGCTTAAATAATTGGGTTCCTGAAACCACAGGGGAGACATGGATTGAGTTCCAGACTTGAGCTTCAAACCCAGCATAGTCCTGGCTCTTGCAGACATTTGAGGGGTGAACTAGTGGCAGGTGGATCATTCCCCACCTCAGCCCCCAAATAAAAAATTAATAAAATTAAAATAGTTAATACAAATCTTTGGGAAATTTCAAAATTCATGCAGAAATTATCATATTCAATTCATTTGTTTCTCCAAATAAACCAATTCACCATTTGTTGCATTATATTTAAATTATCTTCTCATTCCTGCCTAAAATTTTTCAACAGAATTCATGAGATTGGAACATCAAATCTTCAAATATTGAAAACTCAATATCTGAGAGTTCTTTTAATCTTAGAATTAATGAAAGCAAGTTAAGTGGTCTTGAATTATCATGGAGCAATATGTTTTAAAATCCATGCGTAGTTTTTTTTTCATAGTAGGCATTTTTCCATGAAGATTTTGAAGACCCCTGATATGTCAGCAGTGACAAAAATCTCCTTTCCTCCTTCTAGTCCCACTTATAAATATCATTAGAAGTAGCAAAGTAACCTGATTTGTCTGTAACTCATGTCTTTCCCTATTTCACATGCCTTCTCCTTAATGATGAGGGCAGTTTAAAAAATCATGTTTTACTATATATTTAAAACTTAATAATGTCACACTTTTTTAATAGTTAAATTTTATTCAATGAGCCAACTAACAATGATGGCTAGCATAAGATTCCTAATATGCTATAGTGTTATTAGAAAATGGCTTATATATACAAAAAAAATCTCAAATTTAAGATCTCTTTTACAGATTTTATCTGCCTAATGCTTAGACAGACTTAAGTGATTTGATAATATTCTTACAGTCAAAAATTTAAACCCATTTTTTTTCACTTTTACTTTGTAACAACTTTGATTCATTGTTTAGGACAGATTAGAACAGAAAATCAAACTTAGAAGATATTTCTCGTCATCAAAAATTGTGCAATTAGGGGACAGTGCTATTGCATAGCAGGTAAAGCCATTACCTGCAGTGACCGCCTCCTATATGGGTGCCTGTTCCAGTCCCTTCTACTCCACTTCTGATCTAGCTCCCTGCTAATGGCTGGAGAAAAGCAGCGGAAGATGACCCAAGGACTTGGGGCTGCCTCCCATGTGGGGAGACCCTGATGAATATCTTGGCTCCTGGCTTTGGCCTGGAACAGCCCTGGCCATTGAGGCTGTTTGGGGAGTGAACCGGCAGATGGAAGATCTTTATGTCTCTCCCTCAGTCTGTAACTCTGACTTTCAAATAAATGAATAAATCTTTTCTAAAAAAAAATCTTACAATTAAGAGATGAAAAATATAAATATAAAATCAGTGGGTTTATTATCTAGAAAGAATTGGGAAGAATATTGAGCAACTGATGAATAAATTAGAAAATATGTAGGCAGATTCAAAATGGTTCTTCTTAGTCATGAAATTAATTTGTGGATTTATTTTTGAAACCTTTCATCTTTGTAGAAAATTTCTGTGATATTTTCTTTAGGCATTTGATAGAGATCATCCTTTTAAGTTGAAAATTATCTTTATTTTTAAGATCCCTTTTTTGATCCAGCAAGTGGCCAAGTTCCTTTGCCTCCTGCTAGGAGATTACCAGGTGAAAATGTCAAATCCAACAGAACATCACAGGACTATGACCAGCTTCCTTCATCTTCAGGTGAGTGCCTAATAACAGTAATAAGAAAACCTTACTTTGTTTAGTGCCTTTTGCTTTTTGAGGCACCTTTCTTTCTCTTCAAATAAAATAATAAGTACTTGCTACCTAAGAAAGTACTTTTATCATGTTTGCCATTTTGCTTATCAAGATTGCATTATAAGAGGAGTGCTTTCAAATTCTCCATGGAAAAGAAAAAAGATCAGAAAATATTTTTCGATCAGTTTGTAAAGTTGCATTATTTGATTCAAAATGTATTCATTTTTGGCACTGAATTTTGGTGTCGCATTTAAGACACTGATTAAGATACCTGTATCCCTACTGAGAGGCCTGCATTCAGTTCCCAGCTTTGGCTCCCAGTTCCAGCTATGTGCAAATATAGTCCCTGGGAGGCAGTAGAGAACAGGATAGAGGTCACATCTGGCTGTGTCTAGCCTAGCAAATGCTGTTGGCAAGCATTTGGAGAGTGAACCAGTGATGGGAGCTCTGTCAGGCTCTCGCCCTCGCTCTCGCTCCCTCTCATTCTCCCTCTGCCTCTCCTTCTCTCCCTCTCCCTCCCTCTTTCCCTCCCTCTCTCCCTCCCTCTTTCCCTCCCTCTCTCCCTCCCTCCTCTCTCCCTCTCTTCCTCTCTCCCTCTCTCCCTCTCTCCCTCTCTCCCTCTCCCTCTCCCCTATTTCTCTTCCTCTCAAATAAGTAAATAAAAATTAAAATAAATGACAACAGCAGTGGGCTTTGGGCCTAGAGGGTAAAGATGCAGGTTAAGACACCAGCAGCCCATTTGGGAGTGCTTGGATTCAGTTTGTGGCTCAGCTCCTGACTCCAGCTTCCTGTGATACAGACCCTGAGAAGAAGCAGGTAACGCCTCCCTTCAAAACAGAACTGAATTGGATTCTCAGCTCCTGATTTCAGCTGCACAGGGCCGTTGTGGGCATTCGGGGAGTTAACCAGCAAATAGGATCTATGTCTCTCCTCCTCCCTTGACCCCTACCATCTCCCATCCCTCCCTATCTCTCTCCCTTCTTTCTTTCAAATATAAACACATTTTTTTTCATTCTCTAACCTTTGTTTCTTCTTAAGAGATTTAGAAAATGTTTTTGTATATTTAAATGCTATGTGTTCTCTCTTTTCAATTAGCCAGGTAATTAAAATTAGCACTGAAGTGTTAATCATCATAGCTTATTTAGGGCCACTCTGTCACATGACTGCCAGCCAGCAAGTTGAGGAGAAACCATTGTATTAAATATAAACCATGTTTGTAATCATTAGTAATGAAACGCTGCTTTTCTCTCTTCATGAAACCTTCCGTGGCCACCCTGTCGAGTAGTTCCCCTGTATTCTGCACTCCTGGTCTTTCCTCTTTGCTTTATTTTTCTTCATACCACCTAAAATTTCATTATTTGTTTATTGGTTATTGTTTATTTGGCTACCTTCTCTACTGGAGTATTAACCTTTGAATTGATGAAGGTGGGTTGATCCACTGCTCGTCTTAGCTCAGGCTGCCACAGCAGAATACCATAACCTAGATGATTTAAACAGGAAACATTGCTTTCTGACAGTCCTGGAGGCTGGAAGGTCCAGTATCAAGGTGCTGCTGCTATGTGGTGGCCTCTAAGGGCCCTCTTCCTGGTTCACACATCACACCGGAGCGAGGGATTGCTATGGGTCACTTTTGTAAGAACACTAATCCCCTCATTAGAGTCCCACTCTCACGTCCAGATACCATCACACGGGGGAGCACGTTGAGGGGAATGTACAACATTCAGTGTGTAGCATTGCTTTATCTCCACGTGCTCAGAAGAACGTGCAGCACAGAATTTCTTGGGTGGATAGATAAATAGATGGGTAAGTAGATGAGTGAACAGAGATACTAAAGGAAGGAAGGAGATAGCTGATGTATGTGTTAAACTTAGCACACATGTTTTTTGCAGAACATCTGTGTCTGGTATTTGAAAACATCAGAGGCTTTCCTTAAATAGATTTGTATCTTATTTTAAGAGTTTGAGTTTTTAAGTTCAAACCACAGTTTACAGAAGATTTCTTAATACAATAGCCATGTATTTTATAATTTCTTTTTATAAATTTATTTTAAGGTATACAAATTTCATGTATTTCATATATACAGATTTAGGAACAGAGTGATACTTTCCTTCCCACCCTCCCTCCCGCCCATACTCCCACCCTTCTTCCACCTCCCTCTCCTGTTCTCACCTTTAATTTTTACAAAGATCTATTTTCAGTTTACTTTTTACTCATAATATTAATCCTACACTAAGTAAAGAGTTCAACAAATAGTAAGAAGAAGAAAACCCTGTTCCTCAACAGTAGAGACAAGGGCTCTAAACAATCATCAAATCTCAAAATACTGATTTCATGCTAATACATTACATTTTAGGTACACTGTTAGTTACAACAGATCAGGGAATGCTTGTGGCATCTGGTTTTGGAACTGGCTTATTTTACTAAGTATAATGGTTTCCAGTTGCATCCATTTTGTTGCAAAAGACAGGATTTAATCTTTTATAACTGAGTAGTATTCCATAGTGTATATATAACATAATTTCTTTATCCAGTCTTCATGTGATACACATGTGCACTGATTCCACATCTTAGCTATTTTGAATTGAGCTGCAGTGAACAAGGGGGCTACAGATAACTCTTTCATCTGCTGATTTCATTTTGTTTGGGTAAATTCTCAGGAGTAGGATGGCTGGGTCATACGGTAGATTTATTTTCAGATTTCTGAGGTATCTCCATACTGTGTTCCACAATGGCTGCATTAGTTGACATTCCCACCAACCGTGGATTAGGGTACCCTTTTCATCGGAATCAATATAATTAATGAGCTTCTTTGAGAATTACAAATTACCATCATGGTGATTCTTGAGTACATGTTGCCACACGTGGGAGATGCACAATTGCCTCTCTAGTTTTATAAATGTGTGTTCTGGCTTATAATTCAGGAAAAGAAAGACAAATCCTTATTAACCTTTTCAAGTTTTAGTTCATATTCTCTTTTCAGTGCTTCTTATCATTTGAAAATTCCAGATATATCTATAGGCAACCTATAGTGCTAGAAAAGAAACTAATAGATTTGATGACAAATCATGAAAATCAAGGGGAGAGACTATGTGTGACAGACTATATGTAATATAAGGAAGCAAGTTCTTTAAGGAAGTAATGTTAAAATATATCTTTGAGCAAAGTAATATGACTGATTTAAAATAATATATTCAGTACCGCCACCTCTAGGTTAAAAGAAATATATTCAAGTTATGAGAAGAGTTGTGGGCAAAACTATTTTCATAGCATCTTTACAGGTTGCTCCATAATATGTGGATGTTCTAGTGCCCAGAGGAGCATCATTCACATATATGATTTCAACTGGAATGAATTTCAATTAGCATTCCACTAGAAATTTCAGCAAGAACTTTGTATCACAGACCTTGTTGAAATATCCCCAAATAGCCATTTGCCAGAAATCGTAACTGGCTTTTACCTAAGAGATAAAATAGCCCTATGGTGATTACTTGGAGGGCCTTAGCTAGTAGTAACATCAAATATTTCAACCTACTAACATGGTCAAACCACGAAAAATAAGATACATTTTCCCAGCAGATGTTTGTTTGCCTACAGCTCACAGGGCTACTAGGCTGCCTACAAAGTTTGTTTCACATCTTCAGAGAGAATGCACCTGACTTTTTGGATGAAACATGAAACTCAAGGCTTATATGCCATCAGGATTCTGGTAGCCCTTTTTGTGGGTAACTAATCTGTTTTCATTAAGGACTTTCTAAAAATGACTGTATGATGATTCTAGTATGATTGCTGAACCATATGAACTCAATTTTCTTTTTTATGGCTGTCTGAACAATTGATGATGACTCATTTATGTACATACATCCCACAAAAAAAAAGTAATTCTGAAGAAATCTAAAGTAGACTTTCATTGACTTGGGTTAAAAATGCCTTCCTTGTCCTGTTACCTAATGTTGGTGTTTACATGTATATCTACATACACAAAAGTGCTTAACAAAGTGCTTATTCCTCCCAAAGAAATTTTTTTATAATTTTCTTAAAAGTCATATGTGTATGTTAGAGATAGTTAATCAGATATAAGAGGATTTTATCTGCCTGTTAAACTCACATATTCCTCCATGTGGGTAAAGTGTCTTTGCTAACAGTCTGCTGTTTTCTTACACTGGATATATTACTTACATGGTGTTCAGGTCTGTAAAGCTATGTGTGAACTTTACAAACTTTCTCTTCTAAGATATATTCTGCTACAATTTGGATTCTTTAAAAACTCCATAATGTTTGTGCTGATGAAGTATAGCAATAATTCTTGAAAAGACTTTTTATATTGTTAGCCTTTAGAAGGCAGCTCAAGGTTATATGAAAACAGTGCTGTAATCTTAGCTCAATTCATGTTAAATTTATTTACAACCAGTGAAAGATCTTATTGTCAAGTATGCCAACAAAATAAAGGAGATCTCATTAAAAAGGAGTTAATTCCATTCCTACTTTTCCTTTACATTTCAAAGAAAAATGGTTGGAATGTTGAATGAATGGTGTATTTGGACCAAATATTCTGTAAGATTTCAATTGGAGAGCATCGATTCACTTCACACAAGGGTTAAAATTGTATATTGTCATTAGTGATAAGATGATTGAAGTTATGTGTGTGTGTGTGTGTGTGTGTGTAAGTTGTCATTTGTTTTGTGTTTCAAAAAAAGAAAATTGCACTGTTGTTGAGTTTTACCAGAGTTTAACTTTCTAATATGCTTGCTCCTTCTTATATACAGCTTCAGGGTTTTTTTTGTTAATTTATTTTTACTAAGAGTTAGAAAGAGAGAAAGAGAATGTGAGTGAGTGAGCACTGGTTCACTGCCCACATGCTTACAATGGCTGTGATTGGGCTGGGTCGAGCTCCAGAGCTGAGAAAACAATCCAGTTTGCCACGTGAGTGACAAGAAACCATTGACTTGAGCCTTCATCACTGCCTT